ATCGACAGCAACATGGACGGAGACAAAATCTCCGCTCTCCCTGAAACACCAGCCCTGGCTCAACAACACCAAGCTCAGCCTGGAAGCCGACTTGATACCAAGGCTCCAATAAGAGGCTGAAGGCCTATCCGCTCTACGTCAGCAAGGACACAATCCCCATCTTCTGTCACTCCAAATCGCCACCCACCTTCACCAGCTTCTTCATACGCCTCTGCAAGATCATCATCCCTCACTTCCAATAAGATGACAGTGACCGAACTTTACCAGACCCTCATAAATGCTGGAATCTCTATCCGCAGTCGCTGCAATAAAATGGAACTACTAAAACTCTATGAATCCATCTCGTCACCAATTCCACCCTCTCAGGACAGCAGAACCGCTTGCTCTCGCTACACCCCCTATCCTCAGCCCACCGCTCGCTCCTGCCACACCCCCTATCCTTAGCCCACCACAGCCCCGCATGCACGAAATCTCCCCGGACCATCAAAGAAAGCAACTAAGAAAAGCAATAAAAACCAATACAAAACAAGACAAACTGAACCTACCATAACATTCCAAAACATAGACAATTCACCGGATGACACCACTCTCTGACTTCCCATTCCCTTCCCTTGGCCTCCAGCTCCACATTCCAGTGAAAACTCCAGCCCTACTCATCCAGTCATCCCTTCCACTCTTAACCCTCCTTTATTCTATTTCCCTCCTAACCTCCATCACTCTTCAAGCCAGCTTATTTATACCCAGTCTTACTCTACAAGTCCTAACGCACTTCCTCTCCCTACTCATTTCGCCTTTTCCAGTATCCCCACCTTTTTCTCCTCTACATCCCTTCACCAAGCAGTCACCTCCATTAATAACCCTTCCCAACAGTCTACCTTCCCTACTCACATTTCTTCGCACGGCCTCAGTGCACCCTAACCATCCTCCAACGCCATCAAGAACCTCATCCTATCAGGTGCTGAAATAGATTATTATACGCGTTGCTCAGTGTAATTAGTGTCCCTACTGGGGGGCCATGGATACTGATCTTCACAACAGAGTTTTCTTAGAATGCTGTAATCTTTCCTGCAAGGTCTGTCGTTCAAATCTGCACATGACCAATTCCTTTCCCTCTAACCATCTAGAAAACACCTAGCAACCCCTTATCAGCTGCCTTGCAACCGTGTTATTGCTTGAACTGACCTGATCGAATCCTGTATATGAAATTAGCCTGTTCCCTAGCAGGTTTAAAACGCCTTAGCAACCGCCTAGCAAATACCTAGCAACACCATAGCAACCGCCGAGCAACACCTTGCAACGCTTTAGCAACCACCTAGCAACACCTTAGCAACCACCTAGAATCACCTTAGCAACCGCCTAGCAACACCTTAGCAACCACCTAACAACACTTTAGCAACCGCCTTACAACACATTAGCAACCACCTAGTGATTGCTTAGCAACTGCCTAAAAACACCTTAGCAACCACCTAGCAACAGCTTAGCAACCACCTAGTGACAGCTTAGCAACCGCCTAGCAACCACCTAGCATCAGCTTAGCAACTGCCTAGCAAAACCTTAGAAACCACCTAGCAACACCCTAGCAACACCTTAGCAACCATCTAACAACTCCTTAGCAACCATCTAGCAACACCTTAGCAAACAATTTAGCAACACGTGAGTAACCCTTAGTAACCGCCTAGCAACACTTTGGCAACTGCCTATCAACACCTTAGCAACCATCTAGCAACCGCCCTAACAACACCTTAGCAACCGCTTGGCAACACCTTAGCAACCATCTAACAACTCCTTAGCAACCACCTAGCAACACCTTAGCAACCACATAGCAACACCTTAGCAACCATCAAGCAACACCTTAGCAACCGCCTAGCAACTGCTTAGCAACCACCTTTGCAACCACCTAGCAACCCCTTAGCAACTGCCTTGCAACCCTGTTATTGCTTGAACTGACCTGATCTAATCCTGTATATATGAAATTAGAATGTTCCTTAGCAGATTTGAGCTACCAGAACTATTGCTGACAACAACTCTCAGAAGAGTTTGGAAGAACTAAACAATCCTAGATCGTGTCAAATCATCGCTAACCAAATCCTACTAAATGAGTAATCCACATACGAAGAATGGACCCCAGGACAAGATTAACAAAAAGGGAGGAGAAAACGAAAATGAAGAGAATGAAGTACAGTTATCAGGACAAGATAACAGGACAAGTGGTCACAAATGGAAATATGGGACAGTTTTAAAACTTTTTTAAGCCCTGTGGAAAAAGAGGAACTAAGTAAGACTGGTCAAGCTGAAGGAATGGCAAATGATGAAGAAACAAGGATGGAAAATGTGGATAAGAACAAAGTGGAAAGAGGATTTTTAAGAAGAAGAACTTTTAAGGTAAAACCAAATTTGGACATGGCAAAGAAAAAAGTTTGAACAAAAAAACAGAGCTAAATATGTAAATAGGTATGAAGTGTTAAGGGGACTGAAAGAAGAGGAAGAAAATTATGTTTTAAAATATTTTATTTATTTTAAAATGCTTTTAACCTTTGTCTCTTTTAACGGGAGGGGTTGTTGGTTGAGAGCGTTGGAAGGAGATGATGGACAGTAAGGATGTGTAGGTTTTTAATTAAATTTTTATTTATTTTAAGCGTTTTAAATTGTGTTTTTTTATGCAATTAAGGGGACTAATGGGAAAAGATAAATTTGAGAAAATAAGAGAGAAATGTAAAAACAAGGAAGTGATAGTTTTACAGGAAACAAACTGGAAAGAACATGCAATGGACGATTTTAAAAAGTTGTGGCAAGGGGATATTATATATAATAATGGTGATGGTAAATCTGGAAGAGGTGTCGCTTTTTTAATAAGGAAAGATGTTTTAAACTTTAAAAGAATTGTGTATGGAGATAATTATGGGAAATGTTTAGTGATAGAGGTGAACTATAAAAGAAATGAATTACTAATAGCAAATGTACATGCACAAACAGAAGATCAAGACAAAAAAAGAGTCTTTTGAGGTTTTAAATGAAGTATTAAAGGGTTTAAAGAAATAATAATGATGGGAGATTTTAATACTGTTTTTAGACAACAAGATATGGCTGATGGAATGGTTTTAAAATCGGATATAGGAAGAAAGGAACTAAATGAGTTAATAAAGGAAAATAGTTCAGTAGATATATGGAGGGAGAGGAATAGAGAAAAAAGAGAGTTTGTGGGGAATTTTATATGTCAAATGAGAATAGATTTTATTTTATGTACTAGAAATTTTGAAAATTTTATAGAAAACATACAGTATGAAGAGAACAGTTTTAGTGATCATAAGCTCTTGCATTTTAAAGTGAATATAGAAAACATACAAAAAGGACCAGGGACTTGGATTTTAAACACAACCATTTTAAAAAATAAAGATTATGTTTAAAAATCAAAGAAATAATAGGGAAAGAAAAAGAAAATAGAATGTATGATGAAGATAAAAGGATATGGTGGGAAAACACAAAATATCAAATAAAGCAAAAGGTATTGAAGAAAAAGAAAGGAAGATTCTAAATTATATAAAAGTAAAACTAGAAAAAGATGAAAATAAAGAATGTGACAGAGAAATAGAAGAAGAGATTGAAATTGCAATAAATCAACTAAATAAAAAGAAAAGTCCAGGTATAGATGGAATAGGAAATGAATTTTATATTGTTTTCAAAGATATTTTAAAAGGAATACTTAGTAGAACATACTTATTTATTTGATGTACTCAAAACATTTGGATTTGGAGAGAATTTTATTAATTGGATAAACATTTTATATAAAGGGGCTTTAACAAAAGTAAAATGTAACTTTTTTAACAGAATTAAAAAAATGTAATGTAATGGTTTTTTAACAGATTGTTTTAAAATTACAAGATCAATTAGACAAGGATGTCCTCTTTCAGCGCAGTTATATTTCCTAGTCGCAGAACCTTTAGGGTTAGCAATAAAACAAGAAACTAAAATTTAAGGAATAAAAATAGAAGAAGAGGAGGACGAAGGAAAAATATACCAGTATGCTGATGATACAACAATAATAGTGAAGGAGAAAAAGAGTGTAAAAGAAGCCATGAAAAAAGTACAGGAGTTTTGTAAGGGAACAGGAAGCAAAATAAATGAAAATAAAGCAGAATATATGAGGTTTGGTAAAGCAGATATTTTAACAGATTGTTTTAAATTTAGAGAAGTAGAAGAACTGAAAATTTTAGGAATTTTAATTGGTAAAAATGAAAGAAAAGCAACAGAAAAGATGTGGGATGATTTAATAAGAGGAATAGAATCAAGATTAAATTTCTGGAGGATGAGAGAACTTTGCTTAAAGGGGAAAGCCTTAATATTAAATGTTTTAATGACATCAAAGCTATGGTATAAATTATATATAACAGAAATGCCATGTTGGATAGAAGGGAGATTGAAAAAGTGTGTTCAAGATTTTTTATGGGAGGGGAAACCCCCAAGAATTGCGTACAATACAATAATAGGAGCAGCAGAAGAAGGAAGGATAGGATTGATTGATATTAAACAAAGGAAGAATTTTCTTAGAGTCAAAATGGTTAAAAAGCTTTTACAAGTGAACTCAACAGAATGGAAAAAGGTCATGAAATATTTTTTTCAAAAAAAGTTGGCAATTTTAACTTAAGAGAAGATATTCTTTGGTTAAAAAAAAAAAAAAACCTGAATGATGGAAAAGTTACCAGGGTTTTATCAAGACATTTTAAGGGGTAAGTCATTTTTTGACTTTTGCCCAGTTTTAATTTAAGTGTTGAGGTGAAGTCTTTTGACTAATTTGATATTCAAAACATCCTGTGTTCAAAGACAAATTTACTATACCATGCCACTGTCCAGATCGGAAACTTGGCACAAGGAGTCACTGGCATTGTCCTAAATGTGCCAAAATAATAAACAGATCTGTAGATTTTAAAACACACTTGCGTAAACATGGTAGGATATTGTAAATATTCTAAATCCTTTAAGCTTAATGAGTGAAATTGCATTTTTCAACTGTATAATTCCCTTTCTCTGCAACTACAGGTCTGATGGTGCCAACAACAACATCTGGTGAGTACATTTATATTTCTAACCCAACTGAAGTAATGACACAATAACACATTATAATTATGTTAATCACACTATGACATGTATTATTATTCTTAGAAAAGAAACAACCTGAAGATAAAGACATCCCAAAAGCAAACAAAATTTGCCATATATGTGGTATCACATTTAGCACAAACTCAAACCTATTACGGCATAAAAAGGAACAACATGCTGGGCAAGAACAAATGTTTTGCATTGACCCAAAAATGGGATTTATTTGACCACAAAGCAATCCCATGGTATCAGATTGCCAATACATGTCCAAAAGACATTAACATCACAGCTCTAAGATTGTGAAGTGGAGGAATGCAGAGACTATATGGCCATAGCTGCTCAAAGTGGAAACCCAGGGAAAGAATGCCACCACTTAGAGTGGACCAAGAAAACCAGTGCATACATTCCACCACCAGCACTACAAGAGAAAACCGTAAAGGAGGTGGTTGAAAAGGGACTCCTTTCTAAGTCTAGGCAAGAGGAATGTTTGGAACTTTACCAACATACTTTTTCACACGAAGTAGACAGTGTGTTTCCTATTTTCTTGGGGGAACACAATCTGTCAGAGAGATATCTATTTTTCTTAGTGTACTCTGGGGAAAAGGACACCTGGTGTAAGTTTGGAAGGACAGTTTCCACATTTGACAAACAATTGGGAAAATGGCACTCCAAGTGCATCGGTTTAAAGGACAGTATCAGTTGTGTCCACAGATACATGTGTATGTGGTGGATTTATTGGGAGCATCCTTATTTGTTGAAAAACGCACCAGAAGCCCCAGAGGATATAGAAGATATTGAGGAGTGCATCATTGGGAATGTCGGTATGGATGAGCATTTGGCCTTTTCACAGAGTAGTATGATCACAATGACCAATTACTTGTGGAATTGCAAAAGATTACCGGAAGACATTCCACTTGAAATTACCAAAACAGAAAAACCCATTCCAGAAACCTTTATAACATCAGAAACAACCTGTCCATACTGCCCAGGGTCATGTCCTCCCCATCTTAGCAATGCTTTTGTGGTTACAACACAAGCAACTGTTTATAAGATGTTTTGGCAGAATAGAGGTAAGGTATGTTATTAAATATATATCTTATATATACTGTATATAATCTCTATGTATTTTTTGTATGCCAACCAATTTGTGTTGATGCGTTTTCTTTTAGGTATTTCCGTTTATGCCAAGGCATGCCCAGTTTGCAGAAATGTAGTTTATTTTCAGGACTACAATTCTGAATTCCACAATTATAACAACAGGGTCTTTCTTTCCATCCCGCTTTGTTTTCTACTCACAACATAACATATAAACAACATGTTTAAAGGTACATTCTGTATTTTTTTTTTGCAGAATCACATTGTTGTTGGTAGAATGCTGCACACTATAGAATCTCATTCTGGGACTACAGTGCCACACAACACTGAGAAAAGCATTCTACCACTTCAGTGCTCTCAGGCAGTATACGTACAGTTATTTCTGTTACCGCTGTGGACACCACTCATCTGTGGTCATTGCTGATGGAAACTGGAAGATTGCCTTTGATTTGCCAGGTGAGTGTTAGTGAATTTATTTTGTTTAAAATAAAAATATCTTCAGAGTACATAGCTTAAAGGAATAGCTGACCTAAAATTTTAAAGTCTCTTATTTTTTACTCACAAGTCCGTTCTCTGCGCTCTTGGAATTAAGAAACAGCCGTAGTTTTGTGTTTCTCTTCTCTGTTTCTGCCTTTTAACAGCAGGTGTTCATCATCGGTGCTCAATCATCACTTAATTAGCCCCATCATTGTCTCATTAACTTTAACTCTGCTGCTGAGTAAATTTTGCTCAATTTAGAGAGGGACCAAATATTCTCTTAACTGAGTAAATTTTACTCTGAAGATTTTACTGCGTTGTAGCATGAACTACAGTTGAGGGCCCTCCTGTGAAATATTTATTTAAGGTAATGGAGCAAGGACATTTTCACAGTACTTATGGTCATTTTACATGCAGTGCTGACAATTTTAAAGTTGTTATTGATAGCAGGGCAATAATTGAGTGTGAGACATTTTTTTTTTATTACAAAACTGATAAACTGCAACAACTTCACATAATGAATACAAAACAAGAAACCGGTACAAATCTATATTTGGAGCGTAAGCAAATGTTCAGATTTTGATAAAAAATTACTAAAACAAACATTTTGTTTTCCACTGGATTAACTTGCATGGAGTAATTGTTCACATAAACACAAGCAATGTGTTAATTTGAAATCGACTAACAAACATAAAAATAAAACTTGAGTTAAAGCAATAGATATAGTTTTTCATAATTGGTCAATTAAAGCTATTGGTCTATAAATTGTAATAGTAATATTATTATTACATTCACATTAATATTATTTTTCCTGGTATTCTGGAAAACATGTAGATAAGTAATAGACATCAATAATTTTTAAAACCAACAGCAACGACAATAATACTAATCATAAAAATAATACTACAGTCAGTAGCAGTAATAAATAATATTGGTAATATCGTCTCAGTTTTATAATTGAGACAAGTCAGTGAAATTATTTCAGTCTAAAATTGACGGTTATTTTCATCAGTTACAGGACATGTGTCTAGCATTTTGCCTGCTTTGAATTAGACACAGATAAAGTGTGTTACATTACATGTATTGAATAAATTAATTGTAGCATTTATTTGAATAATGACAGAGATGTGTATCTGTGTCTGTTTAGCGTCTAATAACAAAGTTGTGTTTTTGGTTTCTTAAAAATAGCAATGTAACTCCATACTTACAGAGAAATATTATTTATCAATCCAGTAACTAAAGTATTTTTTGCCTAAAAGGTGTTAGGCAGCATTTAACTTCTGTTTATTGATATAGAATTACTTTTATTGCATATAATACCTGTGAAATTAACTTTTTATGACTGGTTTGAGATAAATGTTTTTTGGTTTTCAGGTCCTCTTTGACTTTGTTGGTTCACGTAATGACTCAACAGAGTTTTTTATCATCCGAGAAATGACATCAGCGATGTCAATAATGAGGACTGCCTCTGGGACACTTCTCGACCACAACATATTGACTCCATTAAATATACATGTTCAGTGGTTGCACATGGAGGTGAAAATCATTAATGTATCTGACTCTGTCAACTTTTGGTTGTTTTGAATGCATTTTAAAAGCAAATTAAATGGTTAAAACCAAGTACTTTTGTAGCACTGTACAATAGTCAGGGCCTTCCATAGAGCCATAGAGGCGACCTAGGCGGAGTATAGAGTATTTTAAAATACTCTATTTGACCACAGTGAATCCACCTTATGTTACCAATGTTACAAAGAAACAAAAATACATTTTGTGTATACAAATGAATACATTAATTAAACTATTTATTCTCTTCCATATCAGTTTTCTACGCAGTTGACATAGTGAACACAGTGCAGCGCTTCTGGGTTGTATGTCACAACGTTGTGTCTACATCAACTGTGTAAGAGACCAACATGAAAAAGAAGAAATTGTTTAATTAAGATGTTATTTTTAGTTTGTGTTGTTTTATTACACACAAAAAGTATTCCTGTTGCTTCATAACATTAAGGTGGAGTCAAATAGACTATTCTAACCATTTCTTTTTGGGCCTTGAATGTGGCAATTATGTTCTATCAGAGGTCAGAAAGCTTTTACATTTCCTCAGAAATATCTTTATTTGTGTTTGAAGATGAACAAAATGTCTTATGAATGTTGAATGACAGAATTAACATTTTTGGGGTGAAGTAACCATTTACTTGTTAAAGATACATTGTAGATTTTTTTAAACCAACACTGCAACTTCACTATTACAGACTGTTCCTTCAACCCCATCAGAGCCATCCCCTCTGCATTCTCCAGTGGCATCCCCTCTGTCCTCTCCAGTGGCATTGCCTCGGCCTTCTCCAGTGGCGTCCCCTCTGTCCTCTCCAGTGTCATCCCCATCAGCTGCAGTAGTCTCTTAACCAGAGTGAGTGGAGAAGGATTATATTTTAAATGAACTTACATTGTTGACATTTTTAAATCCACATGTAGAAAGAAAAACAGACATGTTGTATTTTCTTTTTTCAGTGTTGATCTCGATTCATTACTGCACAACATGCAGAACTGGGTGGATTTTACTTCATCACCACCATCAAATCTAATTATTATTACACCGGACAACATCCTGGGAAGTGCAATTTGTGCTTTTTGGCGCCAGTGGCTTGACCCAGAAAAAACTGGATGTTGTATTCAGAGATGCTGATGGTATTGGAGAGGGGGCAGCAGATGAGGGTGGTCCCACAAGAGAGTTTTTAACTTTATTAATGAAGGAGATACATTCTTGTGAGATTTTTGATGGTCCTGACTGGCAGAAGATTCTTTCCTGCAATTCGAAAGGTAATTTAGGTCCATTGTTCCAAATGTGTAATTTATAAGCATTATCTCATGAGAAGCCATTTGATATATTAGCACATCTGTTACAGAATTGTTTTATGTAGCCACATTGAAAAGCTATTACATTTATGCAACAGTTTGACGGCATAAATGGGTAAAACAACAATGGGGTGTCTTTAAAGCCACTATTTTTCATAAAACTTCCTTCAGCCACGGATTCAATACTTAAGCTGACATTTTAAAAGTTGTGGCCAGGTGTCCATTACTAATTATGAAACCTCAGTTAGAACTATTTACAAATGAAAAAAATTTGTTTGAATGTCTGCTGAGGAAAGCTATATCTTATGAACAATATCCTTAAACAGTGACCAATGACGCTAGTCAATGCATTTGTTAGTGGTGTTTTTTTCTCTTAACCATTTTTTTTTTCAAAAAACATTTTATTATGTTGTTTTTATTATGTTTTATTGTTTATTAGCTTTGCTTTATGCACTTATTTTTACGCAATCAAAACAACCCAACTGCATTAAGATTATTTGGAAAACAATGAAAAAACATGATTTTTAAAAATTGTTACAAACCGAGTTGTCCTTTTTGCAAATATATATATATATATATATATATATATATATATATATATATATATATATATATATATATATATATATAGTTACGTCCTTTTAGATGTTAATATTAAACTAGGAGTA